CATCGGTATCACTTTTTATTTTTAATGGACCGGATTTAAATTTTGTGGGTGATTATTTACCTTTACACCGTTACATCAGCTTGCGTTGTGTTTTATTTACATAGAAAGCTTTTAAGAAATACCAGGCAAAAAAGAGATATTGTAATTTTTTAAGTAAAATATAAATTGATAGTATAGTTTAATTTATTATTATTTCCTCGAGTATTATTTTTTAAAATGTCTGATGAAAAACGAAATATTGGTGAGATGTCTCTTTTAATCTTGGAGCTTTTTTAACACAGGATTTGATTTTAAAAACATTATTATTAATAAGTCAAAAATAGAGAAGAGGCTAAAATAAAAGTAATGACACCTGAAAAACACACTGAAGATAAAAGGCTTGTCTGTTTTGGAGTTGATGGCAAGATTAATAAAGACACTTTTGTATAAAGAAGTTATAGGGGGAAATGGTAATATTAAACTAAAAAGAAAGGGGCCCAGAACACCATTTGACAGGAACTGAGACTGGAAAATAGCTGACTCATAGAGTAGTTTACAGGACGCACTGGTGTTTTTTTAACAGAAGATTTTAATGTTTTGATAGAATTTTATAGTATAGACAGCCTTATAGGTTGTTCTTCTGGACAGTACAAATACAAATACTGGATGTAAGGTGGGCCTTGTAACTGCGCTGGAGAAGGAGCACCATTGAAAATTACAATTGGCTGTTCATGACATCAGAATGAGCTACCATTCAGAGCTGTTTTTAAATATGTTGATTGTACAGTACAACAAAAAACTCCAACTGCTTTTACTGGCCCACTGTAGAGGGCCGTGGCTGTTATGTTGGCGGTTACGGTTTGTTGAGAGAAGTCAGACGTGGACGAAACGCCTGTATGATTCAGATACTCCTGCCCGCCGGGCCCAACTACATAAAAAGGTTGGACTTTGATTAAGTCCAAAGAAGAAGGAAAAGAAAGCAAACAACACAAGACCGATAATATATGTATACACAACAAATATATATTCATAACAAGTTACAATACAGGGAAACAGTACGAAAGACAAAGTGTGTGTGAATATTCTGTATGTGCGTGCGTGCGTGCGTGTGTGGATATTCTGTGTGTGCGTGCGTGTGTGCATTGTGCTTAGCGTGATTTCACGCTATTTCTTGTTAGCGACTACATTTCGAGGTTGATAGTTGAAATCCTCTAGGAAGCAGAGAAATTTACCTCGGGGCGTTAGTGCCCAGGCCTGAAAGGGAAAAAGAGGTCGAGCCGAAGGGTCATTGGCTATTTATAGCCAGGAAAGAGAGACCTCTGGTGAAAGGGTTACGAACTTGAAGGAGGAGGTAACTCCGACACCACTATGTAAATTGTGTAAAAGGGACTATTATGATTTGCCACAAGTAGTATTTATGAAAATCAGTGGTCCTATTGACAATATTGATCAGAATTAATCAATCTATACCAAAATGGAGTTTGTGAACCTGAAACCACTGAAAAATTTGATTTTGAAAAATATGAAATTCAAGCGTCTCTTATAAATAACAGAGAATTAGAGTTGCCGAGTTTTCACCCTTCTTTTTTCTGCATTATTATTATAGTTTTTATTTATCTATTTTACTTTTCTCTGCACCCCCTCATTTAGGACAATGGTTCCCCCACCAAAAAAATTACCAAGATGTTTCATATTTTTATTTGTTCCTTTCCTTTTTTCTTTCATTTTATTTTTATTACCTTTTTCCCCCACACTTTTCCTGTCTCACCAAATGTTTTGGACGAAGTCTTCGGCACTGTCAACATACGGGACATCTTCCCCATTTCAAGTCCTCTTACTCTACGTTCAAAATCCCACTCCCTTACTACCCACACCGATAAGGACAACACGGTCAAACATGTTCATACCGATCCAAATTTAAGTTTATTTTCATGAGAAGTTTCGCACAGTGAGGAATCAGACAATGATAATACCATCTACACCAGGATACACACCGGCCACAAGAGTAACTGCCGGTGAGTCTTCTCCATTTCTCTGTTTATTTCTTGCACCGGTGATGAAGGACACAGGTGCGTCGGAAAATTCAGGACGTAAAACTATTAGCTTCCGTACTTCAATTCTGTCATGTGGTTAATAATTAATATTTAATAAATGCTTTTCGTACTGATCACATTGATACCCTTTTGTTTTCCCTTGATATATTAACCAATCTATTTAACACACACACAGACATATATATATATATATATATTTAAAATGACTAATAGTTTAATGCACAAAAAGAAAAAAAAAACTCAATTAAATCAGTCATATATATATATATATATATATATATATATATATATATATGTATACTTTCCACTGAGGATTTTTTTTCTTTTGAATAAATATTTATTCCCCCGACTTAGGTTGTTTTTGTTTTGTTTTTTGTTTTTGTCAGGTGGTATGATTTTAGCTATCACCTATAAATATGTGTTTCTCTTTGTCTCGTTAGCCAAACTTTCCCTGACGATCCGTTTAAGTGAAACCTAGGTAGGTTTTGTCTGGCTCACTAGGTGTATCTATATATATATATATATATATATATATATATATATATGACTGTGTTCCCGCTCTTTTATGCGCTGAACATGGGGTTTAGAATGTTTCTTGTTTAGGCTATTGAAGTTTCGATTACTTCAATAAATTTTTCCAAGGAGATTCAGTGAGCAATTTACAAATTTAATTTTCGTAGTGATACTTGGTGAATACATTGAAAAATGAATCACATTCTGTGAGCCTTTCAAAAGGTAAATCATCTGAAAATATTGAACGTATGTGGGCTGCAATTAAAGGACTAGTGACGTAATAGAGAATTAGAAGGAATATACATAAACAAATAATTAATAATCTGACATGCGTATAAATCATTTGTTTTCAATTTAAAAAAAGGAAGAATACCGATCTTTTAGAAACATTTTAATGTTTTATTTACATTTGCAGAAGTTACAGACACTTTCTGATTTCATTAGTAATTTCAGCGACGAGGTAATTAATAGGTAGTATATATTTGTCACAACATATTGATATGGCTGAGATATTCAAAACTTTATTAAACTAAAATGATTACAGTATATATATATATATATATATATATATATATATATATATACACGCAATTTGTTAAAAATTCACTATTAAACCAAAGAAGTTGATTAACTGTAAATTGCCGACACAGTTTATCTTTTACCTTACGATATAGTTAAATTTTAAACATTAGGTTGTACCATTTCTTATGACTATATGTAAATATCAGCCCAAACTCTATAGGTAGATATTGTCTCCAATCCCGATACATTTGTTACTTACATTTTTTTCGCAATTGTCAATGACGACCTGTTCCAGTTTATCGTTCTGACACTTATTGGTCGATCAAGACAAACCCACAAGTCTATCTTTAATTCTGATCTTGTGTTTTCTCTACCTTTTATCTTTAGAAAAAAGATGTAACACTTTGCTTTTGAAATTGTCTGTAAAATCATTTAATCACCGGTTACTTACCGTCACCTGAAGAGGCACAAAGTGCCGAAACACGAAAGCTATTGTGTAGCGATTTAAACATGTTTTTGTTCTAATCTCTTATAATTATATATATATATATATATATATATATATATATATATATATATATATATATATATGAGTGTGTGTGTATATATATATATATATATATATTTATATATATCTGTGTATGTATATAAATATATATATATGTATTGTGTGTATATGTGTATATATATATGTGTATTTGTATTATATATATATATATATATATATATATATATATATATATATATATATATATATATATATATATATATATATATATACGTGTATTTGTATATATATATATATATGTTTTTTTTAAGCATTTCACCCCAAGCAAGACGGGAAGCCACTAGGACGCAAGGGGTTACAGAAAGTTTAGAGCAAGATCAAATAGGAGCGATAGAAGAAAGGATGAGGGTAATGGATTGATCAAGGCAACTGGAGATGTCGATTGACATTACACTTGAATAGCTGGAGATTATAGCTCACAGGGAAACAGGAATAGAGAAGGGAGTTCCACAGGCGAGAGGTGCGAGATATGAAGCTATTCGAGTAGAAGAGACGGCTACATTTAGGAGTTTCGACAGTGAAGGGGTGAGAACGGGATGCCAGCCTCGTAAGGCGCTGGAACTCATGACGTCTGGGAACCAGCGAATGCAGCTCCTCAGAACAATTTCCATGAAAGTATTTGTAGAACAGACAGAGGGAGGCGACGGCGCGTCTGTGAGAAAGTGACTGTAGACGAGACGCCAGGGCAGGGCCAATTATATTGGATATCCGCCTCTGGAGCCTATCAAGAACCCCGAGGCAAACAGAAGGGGCACCAGATATGTGCGTATATATATATATGCTTATATGTATATATATATGTGTGTGTATATATATGTGTGCTTACATATATATGTATATATGTGTGTGTGTATATATATATATGTGTGTGCTTACATATATATGTATATATGTGTGTGTGTATATATGTATATATGTGTTTATCAATATATATATTTATTACTATTCTCTCGTTCGTCGATTGAGCACTGTAGAGAAAGAGAATTTTTTAGCGGCTGCTGCGTGCTGTTAGCGAACCTATCTGTGGATTATATATATATATATATATATATATATATATATATATATATATATATATATATATATATAATGTCTGTCTGTCAAGAATTTGGGTAAATGATCCCGACACAGTTATACATTAAATGACAATTGGAAAAAACTTTCATGAATGTATAGCGTTTCGAAAAAATATATTCGATAATGCATTTTGCCCATTTCTGGCTTCATCAGATCAACGACGAAATAGCGAATTCTGTGTGTATGTATTTGTCTGTTTATTTAAAATATTTTCCCAAATATTTTTCCCAAGCTTTTTTTTTTCTTTTCTAATCTTGAGCAAATACAGCATTTTCTTTGAATTATTTCTAAATAGTAACTTCTCTTAACTGGTTTTTCTTTTCAATTGCTTCCAAATCTTTTCCATTATTTTCGTTCACAGTATATTTTCGTTCAGCATCTTTATTTGTCTTGCAGCATTTGCAGATGCGTTTTATGGCGCGGGAAAAGTAAGAATTGTAGCCGGGACAGAAAGGCAGGAAGGTGAAACAACGGACCTTGTCCATTTGCCGTTGAAAACAAGCAGGTAAGTTGTATATTTTCAGTTCTTGGCTCTCGTCCGAAGTTTGTTCACGCATACTTTTCCAGTACGACATTCCCCGTTCTTCATCTGTACCTAATAATAATAATAATAATAATAACAATAACTAAAATAAAACGACGATAATATAATAATATGGACTGGGCTATGACAGGAAAACGTAGAGAAAGAAATTGGTTCGCTCTTAAAACTAAATTAAAACAAAATCAGAACAACCAAATATAGAAAGGCTGGTTGAAGATAAATCACAGGGAATAATGAAATGTGGATTGTGAGGAAATAAATATATAAGACAATAAGCGAATTGCCTTGGATTAATAAAAGCTTATACATAGCTGATTGGGGAAGGTGATCAGCTGGGAAACGTTCAAGCAAATGCATTTCGAACATACAGAACAATGGCAGAAACTCTTTTAGATAATGAAGCACTAAAAATTCTATGAGATTTTGGGATTTCAAATAGATCACTCAATCTAGGACAAAAACCGAATCTAGTAGAAGAAACAAGAAATAAAACTTACCAGATATAGGATTTCATTGTTTAGGGGGACCACAGTATAAAGTTGAAAGATTATTAATTTTTCTTTTTCTATACTAAAGTCCACCAATACAAGACTCAGTAGCATTTCATGGTAGAGTCTTACTGAATGAAGCATGGGATATGGACGTAAGATGAGGTAGAAATAATACAGACATGGTCATGTTGGGGAAAGCTAAGGAGAGAAACGGAATCATTTCAATGACTGAAGATTGTGAAGATAAGGAGGTTAGATAGCATTTGGAACTAGACTTGAAGAGGTTAAAACTGTAGTATTTAGGGAAGCACCAATGCGGGAGTTTGTGTCACAAAGTAGCCGTTCTCGGAAAAATCTGAGTGGAATTTTCTCCTTACAAATACGGTAGGAATATGGTTGAAATGTTGATGAGCCAACTCCATGGACATAGCATGGCGAATCCCAGCTGTAATCTAGAACAATTTTGACAGTCATTAAAATATTACCAGTAATGGCCCCGAAGAGCTTATGGAAATGGCTGAAGAAGCTTAAATCATGGGAAGAATCAACTAAGCACCTCAGATACTAACAAGAATGCTGAAGTCTTGATTAGCTTTCCTTAATTTCTTAATAAACCACCACTCATTTCAATGAGTGAACAATAATATGACTATTTTTGTTAAATTGACACATGACTAATATTCATAGTAAGAAGTCGAAGTTTTAAATTAATAATAGCAGTACAAAAAATATGGAACATATATGATGTAAACGTTATAACGCGCACCTCACCCAAATTTTACCGACTGACCAATGATTACCTGACTTCGAATGTCGATGTTCACCGAAAACTGGGAAAGGCTCGCTACATGTTCACAGGGAAGCAAAAGACACAAACATCATGTCGAGAAATGATAACACAAGCTGTGTTTCCACTATTATAAAAAAGTTTTGTTTTTTTTAATTCAGGGCTTTGCTTGCTCAGTCAGGGTAGTTAGGGGGAAACTTATGTCATATCAGTATAATAGTTCAGCAATTCATCTGCTAACACCCTCTCCGTATCCCGAATACGGATGAATGGTATCTGAGCTACGCGAAGGACAATCTGTCCTCTGCCAACGGCGGACCAGAACTGGCTTCATTCAATTCCAATTATCAGCAACCAGAGATAATCAATGTCTGTTTTTTTTTTGTTGCTTGACTTCAATTGATTTTTTTCACTTATTCGTTTTCTTCTTCTTCGGCAAGTGAATACCGCTTCAAAAAATTAATCTATTGCTTATAAAACAAAAAAAATTGAAATCAAGATAAAATTACATTTCCCTCGTCTACGTGGTGTGCCCTAGTTAGTGTCACAATGATGACTGCATGTATCTTTATGAACGCATTTCAAACAGTTCTATAAACCCTTACGAAAATATTGAGAGAATCGAAAATCGTAAAAATACTTTGTTCGATTCAACTATTGAAACACTTTGAGTTAAATCAAGAGTTAAAAAAATCCAGACAATTTTAGGTGCTAATTCAATTGCAACTGAATGCATTTGTAATTCTTTTAAACCTTGTCCTTTATTATATCCATATTAGAGTTATGATTTTTTCGTAATCCTATCTTCCTATGTCATAAATCGATGAACTTTTGTTCAAAAGTAATAGAAACGGCATTAATTTGTTTTAGTTCTTGAAAAAAAGGTCACCTCCAAACTGAAAATTCGACTTTACCACATACATAGTAAGGATAAAAACCAAAATATTTCAGAAGCTTTATTTTTCAATATCCTAATGATGTAATTGGATTGTACTTACATATTTTAAAGGCATTCAACAGCTTATAGCAATAGCATAACATGAAAACTTAAAAATAAACAAAAATAAGTCCTAGAATTTTCCATAAAATTGTAGTTAAGTCATATTAATTCTATACTTCTATACGAATTTAGAAATTTCATGTGGGGGTGATGTTTTTTTTTAAATAAACGGAATTAAACCCTTCTTCATTATGTTTGAACAAAGGGTCATCGAATTATGATAGAGGAAATTAATTTTTTAATGTAAAGTCAAATTCTTAAAATATATATCATAATTAGCGCAAATTCACCTTCCTACATTGCGACTGAATCTGAAGGATTTTAATGAACATTCTTTCTTTAATCTCTTTTGGGGATTTAATACCATATTTTATATTATCATATGTGAAACGTTTATGCAAGACTAACAACTCGAATCAGAATTGTTTCAATATGTGCCTGTTAGATCCTATAATTTGTATTGCTTATATCGGCGAAATTCTGGCTGTCCGATTGTTGTACTGCTTTCCTTGCTTTCAGTAAAAAACAAATTGATTATTTGAAACGTAACTCAAGTTTGCTGTCTGTTGTCATGAACGTTTAATATCCCTTTCTCCCGTTTACAACGACTTCGACGTCTACATCTAGAATGAGGTCTTCCTCAAAATAAGAAATGGTAGGTGATGTACAGTAGTAAGGAGAGTACTTAATGAAGACATTTCTATCTATAAAAGGCAGGATGTGTGTGTGTGTAACGAATGCACGGCCGCAATTTTCGACGGATTTGCACCAAAATTTACACGCACATGCTCCAAGTTAGCAGGAAGCCCAAGACCGACTTTGAATTTCCAAACTCTCATCGATAGTGGAAATAATCGATTTTTTCATGCTTCTACGACAGTTTTCGTGTAGTTTGCGGCCAGACTGAGAGCCAATAGCTGGCTGCCACGAATAGGCAGGAAGATTCTATTGGCCAATGTGTCCATTAAGGACATTGGCCAACATAATTCACTGCAATTTCTATATTTAGTTACTAGTTTAGATTGAGTAACCTGTGACAATTTTTTTAGATTTTTGTCTGTCATCAATTCAAACAAACCCGTTACTCTATGTTTTTTTTCCCGCCTTGCTTCTCTTACCTTTGCTAAGTCAGGTGAATGTTAAATTTTCTGGGTCCTCTTTACTCATTACGTTCTCCCGAAAATTCGACTGTCTCTCTTATTTTAAATATAAGTGTCCTTTTAATCCTCATTTTCCTTGTAGTTTCCTTTCATTTCCCATTTTCTTTTTCCCCAGTTTCCTTTTTCACGTTTTCGTTGTAGTTTCTAATTTCTTGAAGAGTTCTATGTTGCTCTTATATTCTGTCCATGTTATTCTTAGCATTCGTCAGTAGAACCACATCTATGTCGTTTCAAGTATCTTCTGCATCTATGAGGAAATCGTCTCTGCCATATAAGAGATGAGATATTACATAGAAGTTCATTACTCTTTTGTTTCTAATACTTTTGTACTTTGCTTAATTTCTGAAAAGTATATGTCGCTATTTTCACATGTTCAGCATTCTGAATGTCAAAAATAGCTTTTCATGTTCTAATCAGTTATCATATTTTCATAAATAGATGGGACGTTAAATTCAGCTTCCAAAGATTTCCATAAAAGGTACGAGATGCCGAGATTTTTTTATTATCTACACTTAATTTCAGATTCTCATCTTTTGGAAATATAATGCGTTTCATAATTAAAATGTATCCTCAGTTCTGAAATGTAGGATTATTCGGCAATATAATTGATACTGTACCTGGCAGTGTGTTATCAAGGAAAAGACCCAAAAATCCTCCAACAAACATGTTTGTTCCTAGCAGTACGGTAAGGATTTGGTCAAATTCGGTACTTCCTAAAATAAATGAATTGAATAAAAAAAGTAACTATACAAATCCCTTTCAGTCATTTTGTATTGATAATGAGTTGAACAAGCACAAATTTAGTTGCGTGGGATTGGATTTGCGGGTAACATATAAATATTTGACAGTATATCAGAGAGAGCGAGAGAGAGAGGCTTGGATAATAATCAAATTATGCAAAACATATAATGTAAAACATTCAAGTATATACATCCGATACGAAAAGTTCACTTGAAAGAATGAAAGAACTTCATATCGATATCAGTAACGTTATAGACAGAGAGAAAACAAGTTGTTTTGTTTAATGAATTCAATGTAAAAATAGGACCAAGAGGGAGATTATATTGTGAGAAAATTTGGAATAGTGAAAAGAATTGAGAGGGGTGACAGTAAAGAGACTGCTAGTAGATCTGGAAATACTTAACTGGAGAAACATGAAATAGACTTTGCTGACAAGGTCAATATTATTAAAGATGCAACTACCATAAATAAAGTTATTATAGCAAGCGATTACTTAATGGAAATTTTCAGACAGATTTGATATTAAAATTGTGAAAGAAAATTGATTATCATAAAAATATATCTCATTAAGATCAGAGGGAGTATCATCGAATTTCAAGTAGAAATCAATAACAGATTCGAGGTTTTGTGGAACAAGGAAAATAACATTGAAAAAAATGTAAGTAAACTGACAACTATAGCTAGAATAATAGGGAAGATAACATGAATAACAAATGAAAAACCTGAAAACTAACAATATAATCTATGAAAAAAAAGGAGAAATATAAACGTGAAAACGATGAGATAAAAATGAGAATGAAGAATTAAACCAACAAATAACAAAAATTAAAAAATAATGAACTTGGAAAGGTCAGAGGAACTATCAGAAATGGGAAGAGCTTGAAATGCACTTAAACCACAGCACACAGATTTTTAAAAAAAAAAGTGATTGTCTGAACTTAAAGACAGAAATCTGAAAGTTACCAAATGTAGGGACTACGTGTTAAGTTTAGATGAAAAATGTGATGCAAACCTGCATGATTTGAAAATAGAAATACCAATAACAGACAACCTGTCAGATACTAGGTACGTTCATGAAGTAAGAAAAAATTAAAAAAAGGTTTCGCGCTCCAAAACGTGGAAAAACATCAAGCAAAGATAGCATAGTAACGGACCTTTTCAAGGAAAGAATCATGATTCGCACAATTATTTAACAAGTGGAAAAGTAGCTCAAAGAGATAATCTTATTATCATGAAAAAGGAGATAATAACGACCTTTGTAACATTCACACGATCATAATACCCTAGAACTTATACAAATCATTTTAGAGATGCCCTAGATGAAAACCAAACAAGCAAAAATTCTTATTTAAGGAGTAAATACTGAAAATTTCAAAAGAGTAGATTAATCTGTAAAAAGAAATGAACACATCAAACGAATTTGGTGACACTGAAAAAAACTTTTAACTCACTTCGAGAGCAAGATATGAAAAAATATATAAAAGTTATTGAGAATATATAAGATGATAACACATTTTTTTAATATACACTCATAACTAGGACACCGGAGGGAGTCGGCAGTGATGTAAATTGACTTGGTTCATCAGGGGATTTCGAGTGTTACCCCATCACCAAGCCAACCCCAATCAGGAAAGATCAAACCTTGATTCGACCCTCCTACATACACCGTTAACAAACGCTAGCAGATATTGGGAACTTTATATTAATTGGACGAAAGTAGACCATGTTTTCCGCGCATTGGATTGGGTGTTCGTAACACTGTAAAAAATCGACATCACAAAAATATAGAGAAAATAAAGATTGGAGAGGAAGTGAGATAGAGAGATACAATTTTCACCTAAATTATTTAAAGTTGGCTTTGAATAGTCTCTTCTGGAAAATGTTCTGGGGAGGTACGAGGGAATATATAAGTGGAGAATATTTAAACCAGCTACAATTAGCTGACAACATTTTATTAATGAGAATCAACGACAGAATACAGCGGCCATGATTTTTTTTATTTAGTGGGGTGGACGGGTCCTACTAACATTGTTCAGTTTTATTTTCATCTTTGTGTTACATTTTTAGCTTGTTTTCTGGGTTCATTCCCCGCACACCATAATTTCATGAATCATGAATTTTTTATATATTCTTTTAAAAAAATGAATGCCAAATTTTTATGTCATGGGGCGCTGTTGTAGGGGCACTGCGAATATGCGGTATTGCAGCATATGCTGGATTGAGTGGTAATGGATGAGTTTTTGTGGTGAATGAGCAAATTGTAATAAATGAATGGATCGTGAGTCGGATTAGCTAGGACAAGGATAGCTGATGAAGATTGCCTTCAGCCTTCTTACACAATTTCTGTAACATCAGAAATAAATCTCAAATTGCTATAAAGTAGAGTTCACACGTTTATTTATCATCTCTCAGTTTCGTCTTTGTCTTAGGGTAGAGTACGACTCAGTTACGGTTCCATCAGAGGCGTAACTGTGGAAAATCACACTGTGAGGTGGCCAAGCTTGGGGAAGAGATGCCCGGGGCTGCACCCGCTCATTGCACCAGAGAGAGAAATCGGAGTTCGCACCGAGGTCTTTGTAATTGACACTTAAGACCCGTTAGTGATTTACAAAGGCAGTCGCATAAGGAGAAAGAGTAAGGATTGCGTGATGAGATCACTGTTAGATTGGCTGACCCTTTAGATCTGGCTCTTGCTTCTTGATGTCGATTCAGACAAGCTGATTGAAACTTGCTGAGTCCACGAAAAGACGTTGATCTCCATTCTACCTGCTCCAAGGCTAAGCGCTGGAGGGATTTATGAGGTATATTGACAGCCGACATGAACAAATCAAGATAAACCGCCAGAAAACCCACACAAGTGATTTGATTAAAGTGGTGAAGGCTTGTGCAGAACCATCCACACTTTTCGGAAGTACTGATACATTCAGTCGGTATATATATATATATATATATAAATATACACATATATATACATATACATATGTGCATTTACACACACACACACACATATATTTAGATATATATATATATATATATATATATATATATATATATATATACGCACATATATATCTATCTCTATATATATATATATATGTATATACATACATATATATACATACATACATATATATATATATATATATATATATATATATATATATATATATATATATATATACATACATGTACATATATATATATATATATATATACATACATATATATATATATATATACATACATGTACATATATATATATATACATACATGTACATATATATATATATATACATACAATTAAATAATATTTATGTTGGTCACACCACAAACTCGCTTTCACGACGCTTGACACTACATCTTAATGAAAACTCTAACATTTTTAGGCATTTAAAACAACATGCCTGCCCGCACACACAATTCCGTAAAATACTTGTCGAAAACACAACTATACTTCGACATGAAAACAATAGACAAAAACTAAAAATACTTGAAGCATTATACATCAAACAGTTAAAACCCAACCTAAACAAAATCAACTATGGAATCTCTACAAATATTCTTAAATGTCTATAATTTCAATAATTGGTAACAGAAGCCATTGGTTATACCAACGGCTTGCTTAGTTCTAATGGGGGACTGGAATGCCGTCCTGGACCCCAAGATAGATCGGGGGCGGGGTGCTAGCGGGAGAAGGGTCGATCGTAGCCTGGTCGATCTGATCAAAAATTTCGGTCTCGTTGATAGATACCGGGTCGATCACCCGGGGGAATATGGACGTGGGCTCTTAACTGGCCTTGTGACAAGGTAGTTAGCTACCTTGACAGAATGTTAGTGAGAAGGGCCGACATAGATCTGAGAAGATTGTCCCACGTTCCACTGGGTAGGCTATACGGACCACAAACTCGTTTGTGCCCGTGTGGCGTTAGAACATAGGCCTAGAATGGCTGGCTACTGGAAGTTCAATCTGTCCTTACTGGACAGGCAGGACTTCCGGGAGCAGCTGACTAAATTAGTGCAGCGGGGAGCTAGTGGGGGCGGTTATCAGGGAATAGGTGGTGGGACAGACTTAAATGTAGAATTAGGTCCTTCACCACTGATTTCAGCAAACGGCTCGCCCTAGATAGAGCTGATAAGGTGAGGACGTTTAAAGCTAGTCATGCCCAGGCGGTGGCTGGGGGATCCCTAGAGATAGCCGTAGCTAAGGAGGCTCTGCAGCGTTTGAATAGCGAGCGCTACATGGGCCAGGTAATTTAGGCATAGGTTAAGCAAGATGTCTTCCGAAGCCGTGAATATGGGCGCAGAGCTGCGCAGGGAAGAGGTCCGTCGAGGTGGCGATCGTTATATTCGTGAAGTCAAAACCCCGGAAGGGCGCACCCTTCGGGCCACTGACGACATGTGCGAGGCGTTTCGGCGGCATTTCGAGCCGTTTTACCAGGGGAGCCTGGTCTTCGTGAGGACGAGTTTCGCAGCTATTTGGCTGACTTTCCTCGGCTTTCGCCGACTGAAGCGGCTAGCTGCGAGGGAGAGGTTACCGAGGCGAGGTCTACGCGGCTTTGAAGAAGGTCGGCAGAGGCAAGTCGCCCGGTCTGGATGGTCTGCCCTATAAGTGTACTTTGAGGGGCTGTCGCACATCTTTGTCCCGATTTTGACGGTCGTATTCAACAACTGGTTCCGGCAGGGTCTCTCCCCGACCGGTTCTCCAGGGTGTGATCACGCTGTTGAAAAAGGGCAAACGGTGTTGGGGGAAGCTAGACGACTACAGGCCCATAACTCTGCTAAACACAGAGTTAAAGATTATGGCCAAGATCCTGCAGGAGCGCTTGCAGTCAGTTGCCGAGTCTCTGTTGGGTCCCGAGCAGACCTGTTCTGTGAGGGGTCGAACAATTCAGAGCAACCTGCATTTGATCCGCACGATCATAGAGGGTGTAAAAGACGACGAGTGTGCCGCGCTGATCAATTTGGATCAGTC